ATTTAAGAGGTTTAGAACTATAGTTAAACGAAAACTTTATTCTTAAAATTTATTATACAGCTTCTGTGTACTTGGATGACAAAAATCTGTGGTAGTGGCCCGTTTAGCTCTAGCAGGTATTCTCGATCTGAGCTGTTTGAAATTCAAATGTATATTTACAAAGAGCAACCCCAGAATTTCTTGCTCATTCTTCTCAATCTGCTTTACGAATGAGCAGTAGAGTTTAATCAGTATGACGATTTCAAGTTTAATTTACTTGTTTAAGAAATTAAGATTATTTGGCTTCGAGAATAGGTGCCAGTACTTCTCTATACGAACTCTTATATAAGGAGTTCTACCGTTACTTAATCTTCGCCTTAATAGCAAAAATCTAAGAGGCACTACCACTGTGCCCGTCACCCTGAGACTTTCCCTGTATACTTTCAGAACCGGTACGCAGAAGAAATGCTCATGTAATTGCTTGGCGGCAGAAATAAGTACGATCTTGCTTCCCTGGACGAATTCTTTCACAAGAAACTCTGTTAAACTCTGTAAAGAGCAGCAGTTAACATTATTTGAACTAAACTATCAATGACGTAACTTATGTAACCTGTCCTATATATTAGTTATTTAAAGGAACATGAATTTGATTACGGTGACATTATAGTATACACAGACGTAAGACGCTCTCATCTCCTGTTGAACCCGTGATGCAACAAGGACGTAATGCGTTCCAGACATGCGCAATAACGTCATACTTCAATCAAATAGATGTATGCATTCTATGCAACTATACAGCTGTTTATAGAGAGTATTGATTTTATAACCCAGAGGGTGGGGTGGTTGGAGGGAGGCTCATCCTTAGTTGTTGATTCTGTTTTAAGAGTTTATGGTAGGGCAGTGATTCTGGATACTTTACGCATTGTTATAAAAGGCTGAATAATAATGTTTTGGATGCTTGACAAAATGGTGACGTTAGAGTCTGTACAACCTCAAATAAATAACTTTGGTTGATTCCGTATAACAGAGAATGTGTTGAATCAATCACTTTTGAAAAATATATTAGTAAAATTGCAGGATACGCTCTGATTACTATACGGTGTGAAAACAAGATTGGTACAAAAAAAAACGAGAACTTATTGCGAAATTATACAAGATAACCTAACCTCCGGTTAAAAAAACGGACCTCAAAAGTCATTCATCCCCTAGTTTGCCACCCTTAGAGGCGGAATATTTTTTTGAAATTTAAATGGGACCACTTCTGAGGTACCTTCTTTCCAACAAAAAAAGAATCATCAAAATTAGTTCACAAACGGCGGAGTTATCGCGTAACATACAAAAAAATATATAGAGGAATTGATAACCTTCTCCTTTTTTGAAGTCGGTTAAAAACCGCTGTATTCAATAGGTTCTTATAAAAGAACAGGTATACGATATACATTTCTCAAATGGTTTTTATTTAGTTTTGTAAAAAAGAAATTCTGAAATAAATCCAGTGTCCCTCCCGGTCGACCCAAGCAAAATGAACCGTATTTGTACGGGAAACCGTTGGTGGCGCCAACGTTGGTGGAGCTTTCTTTACACTTTGAATCGGTCACGGATTCCGTATAATTAAACTTCAGAATATGAATAGCACCAAGTATCTCAAACACAGACATATCTGTGATCTCAAACGACCAAGTACGGGCTACTGCTTCTCCATAGAGTCAATAACATAGACTTTACAAAACATAATAAATTTATTTAAATAACAGTAGAGCTCCTTGTGAAAGAGTTCGTCCAGGGTAGTACTGCCACCTTACCTATTTCTGCCGCCAAGCAGTAATGACAGCATTCCTGTGTTCTGGTTTTGAAGGGTAATGGTGCTGGTGAACGGTCAGTTCAATACCGTCCCGCGCTAAAAAGTTTGGCAATTCGTTTTTATGCCGAACCATCAAATTGTGGAACCAACTCCCGGCGCATGTATTCCCTCCCCTCTATAACATCGGGTCCTTCAAACGTAGTGTGAAGAAGCATTTGGCCAGACCGGCAAAATGATAGTGACAGAGTGAAGATTTTGTGTTTTCCATCCGTTACTCTCATCTCTGGACTGTATTCGCACTTTCCATCAGGCGCGGTGCAGTCAGTTTGCCGAGTCACAATAAAAAACAAATAAAAAAATTACAGACACAATGGACTTGTCAAGTTATGTCTCAGGGTGACGGGCGCATTGATAGTACCCTCCGGTCTTTGCGATTTAAAGCTCTGAGTGGCACTGTAACTGTTATGGACAGGCGTGTAGCTTACCATCAGGCGTGCGACTTGTCCGTCCCGTCACTTGATATTTTGAAAAAAAAATTACAAAACCAATCAGAGCCATTTAAATTTAAAACAATGAATTGTTTCGGATGGATATCGGTTGGAGAACGGGACTACACCCCTGACTCCACTGCCATTGCAACTAGATTTTAGCTGAATAATAAATATTATCTTAATATGGAGTGTCAATTTCAATGACCAGTGAGTGGCTTCGATAAAATCAAGCACACCTATAATAACAACGAAACAGTAGTTAAAAATAACCCTAATTGTAGTAAATGTCCATTTCACTTCGTCACCCACCCACAGATCTTTAAAAAGAAACTACAATGACTCAGTTATTCGCAGAAATAACTACAGGGTTTTCTCGCACGTGCTTCCAACTAGCATCGACCTTGATTACGAGAACGGGTTGTGGTCTAGTGGGAAAACGGTCGCTTCGCAATTGACGGTCTCGGTAACCCAGCGCTTTTAATATTTTCTAAATTGATTGTGGCCTAGTCATAGTACAGGTCTTTTTTATATACTAAGTGACGGGACGAACAAATCGTGCGCCTGGTATTAAGCGACACGCCTGTTCTTAGCAGTTGACACCTTTAAATCGCAAATATCTGAGGGGCACTGCCACTACGCCCGTCACTCTTCAATAAGAAAGAGGATATCCATAATATTAACCTTAGATCTAAGTCCAAACGACTCTTACGGAATCTTATTGTAAAAACGTAACATTTCTTATCATTTCCTAAGTTTAAAAACCACATTAAAATATTTACAAAATTGAAGACTACGTGTTAGATAAAGGTGTATGGCAAGACGACATGCCTCTAAATTCCACACACATTTGATTCAAAGTGTATTCCATAGCATTTCAGTTTATTTGAAAAGAAGAAGTCTGCGAACTTTAAAGCGACGTTTTCGAGTATAAATTTATTTTACCTATGGAATTAATGTTTCTTTGGCTTTCACTTTGACCCTGACACATCAGTTGACAAGTCCCAATGCTTGTAATTTCACCAGCACCCTTAACCATCCAAACCGGAAACTGCCACCAAGCAGTAATGATCACATTACTGCTTGGCGGCAGAAGTAAGGTTGCAGTATTTTCCTGGACGCACTCTACTGTTAATTCTTTTTCGTTAGTAGAACCTTTATACCTCCTAAAAAGTTGCAATTTTTCTAATGTTGCCACCAATCTATGCGAAACTCTAATTGATGTTACATCAGTGTCTGGCATTGAACGATACGTGTCTGATACTTGATTTGTCATTATTTTTTTTTTATATTTTCAGTAAGCAGACAACAATAGCGAATGATCGATAACGTAAAAATGTCAAGTATTATCAAGTTTGTTGACTGATATGATTACACAATACTGTTGAAAAGTGTCTTTCACCAATACTGACTTTCAAAATCTAGGTAGATAAACGTTGTTAAAACCGCAGTGGAATTGGGTCAAATACTTCTGTAGGAACAAAGAACAAAAACCGTCTAATGCTTTTTAGCTAAGTTTACCTAAAGAATTCACTCGGAAATTACACTTGAAATAATCACATTGATCTTCTTCTCGTATAGATGTCATACAGAGAAAAATGTTCGTCCAGAGAAATACTGCGACCTTACCTATTTCAGCCGCGAAGCAGTAATGTGAGCATTACTGCGTTCCAGTTTTGAAGGGTAAGGGTGCTGGTGAAATTACAGGCACATGGGACTTGTCAAGTTAGTCTCAGGGTGACAGGCGCAGCGCCAGTGCCCTTTAGATAATTTCGATGTAAACTTCTGAATAGCACGGCAACTGTTATGGATAAAGCTGTTAACAGATTGACTAGATGTTTGCAGTCTATCTCGGCTGCATGAAGTTGATTACGACTTCACGCGTTAACTGCAAACGTGCTGTCGTTGTGTTAGCATCCTAAATGTGTCAGTTACCACCAGGCGCACGACTTGTTCGTCAGGTCATCGTTACTTGATATCATAAAAAAAATACGAGAAGAAGATACATTTCTAATCTGAAAACCGTCTCACCGGATTTAAGAGCTATTTATTAATAATTGAAAGTTTTCTCATAGATGGCGCTACGACCAAAAAGTCGTTGAAAAACCAAATACAAAGATACGACACATACATAGAAAAGTGAGGTTCGCTGGCTCGTTCCGTGGCTTAGTTGGTATATCGTCTGGCACGGTATGCTAGAAGACGTCGGTTCGAATCCGGCCGGATCGAAGGAATTTTTTCTGAGTGTTCCATCATTGTATTAATATTTATAATAAACTAGAGGAGTAATTTCACATAAAAATTATTGAATATCAATTCAGCAAAAAATAAAATTGAAAGTAATTATTCGCATCTAAATCCCGATATTTATTTTTTTATCCAATTACTATCAAATAAGTAATACTCTACCAAATTAAAAATCACGTGATGCGAATGAAGCTTCATACTGGGCTTTTGATTTAGTCGAGTATTATTTATTTGACAATGCAGGATGTCGCATCCGACGAACGGGAGTAGACTCCTAGTTTACGCTGATTGGAATATGTTGTGTATTAAATTTGTAACTATAGTTCACAATTGGGTGGTTCGCATTAATATACAGTTTGATGACTCTCGTTACAATATGTGTAGAAATCGCGGAAACCAAAGAACTCTGTTTATTAATAATTTCATTAATTAATTTGTTCATTCATTGACAATGCTAATGTATTTCTTTTTAAATTGTTACAGATACAACAACCTGGAGCCAGTAACATGCATACTTTGGCCCAGTCTGCCCAACCACAGATTCTAAGTAAGCTTTTACACTTTCAGATTAAAGGAATACCTTCCAATTGTGGTTACAAAACTATACACATGAATATATCGCACCCTTGGTATAATAAATAACCTTATTCTTATTACACCAAGGGTGCACATCTGCAAAAAACTACTTTTCTTTTACTTGAAAAGTTATTTGTAATATGGTAATAATATCTATGATATTATAAATAACTCAAGAGGACTGTTAATAAAACAGCGTAGTCGGGTATTTAGTACTTATTGGTATGTACACCAGATATAGCTACGAGTACCAATAAGCTATTTTTGTAACAAATTTATTTTACATTGATGGGCTGATTTTTTTTTTCAAAGCTACTCTTTGTTTCTAGTGATAACATACAAATAACTAGATGGCGCTACAGATTTTTATGTATAGCGCCGGCTATTCTTTTGTTTAGGATCAGCGCCATCTACCCATATTAGAAACACAAAGTGATTGATCTGACCTTTATCAAAAGAATTGTCTCAGGCATTATTGATTGGCCTGGTCTGCTCTCTATAATAGACTTCCTTATCCCGCGACAATTGTCGAGGTCTGGTAGTAATAGGCTCTTCCATAGGCCAAGATGTCGCACAAATTTGAGGCTACATTGTTTCTTATCACGAACGATAACACTGTATAAGGAGTGTCAGAGTGAAATTGATCTAAATTGTACTTCCGTTTCTATGATAAAGAAAGTGATGTGATAAGTTTATAGTTGCGTTTATAATTATTGTACTTTTGTATCGTCATGTCTAACCAAATTTTATTGTACCTATTTCTTTTAGTTCATGTGCGCCCTCCTTTAAGTAATGGGACACTTATTTTAAAACCATAGTGTCTGTATACCTGCATAATTATTGCGAGTATATATAACTCATTGTTGCAACAGCCAGATTAAATAAATAAAATAAAAATAAATTTCGTTTATAAATTAGATTCAGAAAGTTCCAAGACGGATCGATGGAATTTTCCTTTTTTTTTAAATAAATCTTAATAGCAATAAGGAGACGCTATAGCCATTGTCTCTCTAACATCTTCGTTATTGTTTCACAGCAGGAGCAACAACAATGCTGTCCGTAGGCGCTGCTGTGAGCAGCGTCAACAGCGGGTCTGTAGGCGGACCGTTCCGCAGCGCCGTACGGGCACCAACTCCTGGGCCAGTCATCAACTACCTCAAGGCTGGTGTGCAGTACACCTCGAAACAGGCACCGCCACCACCGAGGCTTAAGGTACTTATCCACTATCACAAGGTCCCTTTTGACTACCTTTTACATTGTGGTAGAACTGGGAAGAAGCAAATTTTTGTATCGAAATATGACATAACCAGTTATCGGAATTGAGATAGTTAAGTATAACTAACTCATCGAGTACATAACTAGAAATAGAGACGAAATTTTTAGTTTGTTTGAAAACCATTTTGCCAAATCGTTACGTTGATAACTGCGCTCTGATTGGCTAGTCCGAATTCGAAACATTTGACGGGTGTCGTCAACTGCAAGCCTTCCTATAATGGACGAAAATTGCAAAATTACATATTTAGTGTTTAATTTCCGATGAAATGGGATTCCGTTTGTTTTGTAATTAGATGTTTTTTCCACACCACCGAATGGAACAGCCATTGTTAGAAATATTATCTTTATTACAATAAATACAAAATATTTTTGGAATATACAGAGACAGACGTGTACACTCAAGTCAGTTGTTGGCGCTGTATTATTTCAACTTTCTAATTTGTGATTTCAGCGCATACGAGACTTGATATTTAAAAGTGATATAAGGCCCATTTGCCAGGGATGGATGGCCCGTATTTCGTCTCTATTTCTGGTTATATACTCGATGAGCTAAACTAAAGAAAAACGAGGACATTCCTTTCCATAAATCCCGGAACTTTTCGGAAGTTATATGCGTATTATTTTAAAAAAATATAAAGTACATGTGGTGCAAAAATTCGCTTCAATTCCCTTTCTCGACAATGTAATTTTATTCCGTAATTCGAATTTTACCATAACAAGCAATTTGACACTAAATGATGACAGTAATTACCGTTTGATGGCCCTGTGATATGAACTAGCGGCTGCTCTATAAGAGTTCTGATTTTGTAAGTGTCATAGAAAACGAATAGGGCCCTTAATTTTTTTTTAAATCTTTATTAAATTTTAGGACTTTTGTTCTCGAGAATATGCCAGTCCTATCATAGCCTTATTCTAATTGTCATGCATGTCACAGTAAAACTTGTTTTCTTATATTATTATTACATTAAAAGTACTACGTCAACTATCGCCGGTTTACCATGTCACACAACATTTTTGTATATTTTGATAAAGGTTCAGATAGAATCCCTTGGAAGAGTTCACGTTGGAACGGTTCAATTGTAACAGAAACATCAGTAGTTGTCGCTGGCTTTCGTTCTTGGTACATTCCGCCAACAAGTGTTGGACGTCTTCAATTTTATTACAAGCTTCACAATTTGGTGAATACACTTTTTCATAAGATATCCAAACCAGTTCGACGGATAACGTCCGGAACGTAGCCTAAACATTCAGAACTAATAAACCACGATACGTGGTGTGGCTCACATTGTAATGTTCTATACCATATGCCTTTATCTCCGGACCTTACATCAAAGAATTCTTTCCAGCTGTCAGTAATTAGTTTTTATATTTAGGTAGGATTTCGTGATAAAATGGCAGTATGGTATACTCCTGGCCTTGAGATGTAGCTAATTTCGCCAAGCGTCAACCTCCTCGTTCCCACTTACACCTATATCCCCTGTAAATTATAAGTCATCTCAAATGTGTATTGATATTGTCAGTGGCTGTATTTTTTAAGACTTCAGAAAAGGAGTTCTTGATCCGGCTGTATTCTTTGTGTGTGTTACGCAATTACTCCGGCATTTCGTCGCTTAGCAAACAACACGGCATATGTAATTTGGAGTCATTTTAAAGGAGAGTGATAAATTCCACTTATATTGCATACAAGATTTTCTAATCTATTATTGTTAATAAGTGCTCTATTTATGGATAACTCATAATTGTATAGGAGTCAGTTATTTTCTTCTTCCTGTCCTTATCCCACGCTAAATCGGGTCGGCACAACATGTATTTTTCTTCCACTCTCCCCTATCAGCCGTCATTTTTATGCTCACACCTTTCTTATCCGTGTCTTATCTTTTCTTTGGCCTTCCTTTCCCCTTACATGCCTCCATATTCATACCTAGCACTCTTCTCGTCACATGACATTCTTCCCTCCGCATGACTTGTCCATACCACGCTAACCTATTACTCCTCATCTTTTCCGTCACTGGCGCCACTTTCAAACTTCCCCTGATGTACTCATTCTTAATCTTATCCTTTCTCGTCACTCCACACATCCATCTTAACATTCGCATTTCCGCTACATGCACAGTTCGTTCAACATACCTTTTCATCGCCCAATATTCTGATCCATACAACATAACAGGTCTAATCACGGTCTTGTATATTTTCCCCTTTAGCTTAAGGGGCATTCGCCGATCGCAAATAGTGCCTGTGACCTATTGCCATTTTATCATTGGAGTTAGTTGTAAAATTTTTATTGGTATTCACGTTTTATTTGAACTTGAGTAACGTTCAAGAGTGGCGGTGTTGTCTGCTAAGCGACGGTTTGGGAACCGATTTTGAAAATTCTTTTTTGGGTGGAAAGAGTACCTCAGCATTGGTCCCAATTAAATTTGATGAAAATATTTCACCTGTGTGATAAACTAGGGGATCGGTATCGCGCACTTTGCGTTAACCGATTGCAATAAAACTTGGCAAATATTTGTAATTCCGATAAACACACTTTTCAGGTCGTTTTTTATTTCAATACAAAAGTTAAGTATAATTATGCACGTATGTTATTCTGCTGAGAGATAAAAAAGCAGTGTGTTGTCATTGGCTACCCATCGTGTTAATTCAACTGCTATTGCAATTTCTTGGTATTCTGCTCTTCAATGGCGAGTGCGTGACACATCGATGGCGTAGTCTTACATAAAATAAGACATTAGATTTGCAGACTAAATTGTTGCTAAAACGCATCGAGTATATAACCAGAAATATAGACGAAATGTCATTTAATTTGTTTGAAAACTATTCTGCCAAATCATTAAAGTAATAATTGCGCTCCGATTGGTCGGTGTCGTCAATTGTTTGATTTCAAAAAAATTAACTTGAGCTTGAGGACGAAAATTGAAAAATTACATATTTAATATCGGATGAAATGTGATTCCGTTTGTTTTGTAATTAGATGTTTTGCTGTATTTCCCACACCACCGAATCTAACTGAACCCCCATAGTTAGAGATATTATCTTTATTACAATAAATACAGAGTAATTTTGGAATACACAGAGACGTGCACACAGGTCAGTTGTTGGCGCTGTACTATTTCAGCTTTCTAATTTGTGATTTCAGCGCAAACGAGAGTTGATATTTAAAAGTGATATAAGGCCCATTTGCCTGATGAGTTGCCGGGGTGGATGACCTTTATTTCGTCTCTATTTCTGGTTATATACTCGATGCTTAAAAATTAAGATATACGTAGTAATTTCCAGTCTAATAAAGCAACATCGGTCGTTACGAATTGATTGAATGACTGCCATTCCACTGCCCTTCCACTGAGACTCAACTGCTGCAACTAGATTTTAGCAGAACAGCTAATATTATAATCGCAATATGATCTCGGTGGAGTCTCAATGACCAGTGCTTGCTTACAAGTAAATTAGATTTGGGGCCATTGACCTACTAAATTGGGGCCCATGGCGTGTTCCGTAATTCTTACTATGGTGTCTGTATTGGTTATTTAATGACAATTTTAATTTTTTCTAGATCATTTTCTCAACAGCCTCAAATGGTTGGATCTTAAAGATACCCTCTTTAACTAACCTTACAAAAAGCTTTAATTTTAATTAAATGCCGAATTGTGAAAGTTTATGCCAAGATAGATATATATTTAAGACGAGATAGGCTCTCATCATGACACCCTCTTAATATTGACATGCATTTACTTGATTTCGATTCGTGAATGTGGTTAAAACCACCCATAAGACTCGTGGAATTAAAAGGAACGCGGTTTCGGTCCGCAGCTGAGCCACCAGCAGCCCATCCCGCCGCTGGCGGCGCACGGGCAGCACGGCCAGCACGCGCAGCACGCGCACCCGCACCCCGCGCCGCACCCGCCGCACCCGCTGCCGCACGGCCGGTCGTCGCCCGCGCCCGCGCCGCTGCCGCCCTCCGCGCAGCAGGCGCCGCCGGCCGCGCAGTTCCAGCGGCTCAAGGTCTGCACGCCCGCACCCGCCACTCTCGGACATAAAGTCCCGTGTGCCATGGATGCCATCACTTGTAATTGTATAAAAAAACCACACAGACAGCCACAAATACCAACACCCCAACTCAACATACTAATATTTCTCCCAGCTCAGGAATCGAACCCGGGGCCTCTGCGCTGCGTGGTAACCGTTCGGCCTCCGAGGCTGTTGCAATATTAAAAAGATGGAGATGCAATAAATCCGTTACTTGTAGTATTGCAGTGACGTCAGAATGTGTTTGGAGGATCGCGGTTCAAGATATTTCACGTAAATTACAGAATATAAAATTTAAAAATGAATATATCCAATTAGACATTATCTAAAATCAATATATTTTTTAACTTTGTTTTCATTACATAAATAGATATGTATCATTAACAATTTTTAAAGTTATATATTTAAACACTATTTGCGTTGTTTGAGTCAAACGAAGCGCTACAGCCGAGGACAATGAACCATTTGTGTTGTACTCGACGCTATGCTTGTTACAAATCTTAATTCGTAGCGTTGGTATATAATAAACCCACTTGTGTCAACAAAGTTACACATAAAGTCAATAGGGCTTTTATTATGTACATTAAAGTCGTAAAAATAATGCTAACTTTATGAAACAAATTACGCTTATTTGAAATTTTATAACTCTCCTCACTCTCCTATTTAATTTGACATTTGCCATGGTGCGCTGAGCTATTGGTAAACCAAATAAATAAAAAAAAGTCCCCGCATTGGGTCAGCATGACGGACTATGGCCGAAACCCTCGCCTGAGGAGACCCGCGCCCAGCAGTGGGACGTATGAATGGACTTTATCGACGTTCGTACGTAGAACCTTTAAACCTCTCTCCTGAAAAGTTATCAATTTGCAGATGTGCCCTTTGTTGCAAAAAGCAAGAGTGCAAATTGTTGACCTTTTACTAGAGAAATACTAATTCTATACGCACTACTAAATTCCAGACGAGATGAGGTGCACCTGGTAGTACTCCTTTTTGCCCTGTCGTTAAAGTCGTTTCTGCATCCTTTCTGTACACCCATCGTGATATTAGCGAGATGCCCCTCCGTTGCGTTTTAAAAAATAAAATTAAAAAATAAATCATATCGACTGTTGAAAAAGCAACAGAAAGAATGGAAAATAAAATAAATGAAATAAAAATCTTTTATTAACCGACATAAAAAAAGGAGGAGGTTCTCGGTTCGACTGTGTTTTTTTGTATGTATGTATGTTACGCGATAACTCATACGCGATAATTTGTGAACCGATTTTGAAAAATCTTTTTTTTTAGGAAATGAAACTATTTTCCCGGATTTAAATCGCGTGTATTTGTTTTTTCAAATAAACCAACATTTCGGGCCCTTTACAGGTCCCATGGTCACCGTTGTCTGCCGTTGAAATTTAAAATCTTCCAATATAAATATAATCGAGGAATAGAAAGAAATTTTTGCCTCCAACCAGCAATGCTCACCTTACTATTACAACTTGTGCTGTTGTGCTTGATGTTTTGGAGAAGTATAGTTATTACTATACAAAACATCACAACAATTCATCATTCCTAAGGTGACAACAGAAAAAGTTTTAATTTTAGTAAATTTTAGAACGAACTATCAAAAACAACGAAAAAACCTTTTATGGGTTGACACGTTATTTATTGCTTATTAGCTGTACAGTTATTCTTACTATATAACTCACCTTGTACAATTATTGGTCATCCCTTAATGCAATAAAATAAAAATAAGAAAAATTATCTTCTAAAAAAAAACAATTCTGCCTCCAAACAGTAATGTGTGAACTGGTGAAACTACACATGAGACTTGTCAACTTTATGTTTCAAGGCGACGGGTGCAGTGGCAATGCCCTTCCGATCTTTGTCACTTAATTAAGTGGCATTGCCACTGTTAAATGGCCTTGTCGCTTACAACCAGGCGCACGACTTGCCTGTCCCGTCACTTTGTCCCGTTTCTTTTTGTATTTATTACAATTATGTTATTTACGCCGCAGTATGTTCTGATTCATCTTCCAGAAAGCCATCGATATGAAATACTTTTTATTATGATATGATAATAAAATTTTAACTGCCTCCGTGGCCGAACGGTTACTATCTGCCACGCAGAGGTCCCAGGATCGATTCCCGGGCCGGGAGGATTATTTGTATGGCTTACATGTATTTCTCTCGTGAGTTTGGGTGTAATATGTGGTTGTCCATGGTTCCCGCAACACAGGGTTTCCCTAATGCGTATGTTGAGTGTGTGCGTTATTATTATTATATTATATATGTATTTCTTTGTGTAGGTGGAGGATGCACTGTCTTATCTTGACCAAGTCAAGTACAAATTCAACACCCAACCTCAAGTCTACAACGATTTCTTGGACATCATGAAGGAGTTCAAAAGTCAAACGTGAGTATTTTTTCACTAATATTTGTGTTAGTTATTTAAACGTGCCAATCACTTTAATTAAATGTCACGTGGAATTCTATATGAAATTTGAATGGACCAATCGTATCGCTTTGATATCACGTGGAATTTATTTTAAAAATTTGAATTTACCAATGATATTGTTTTCATGTCACGTGAAATCCCATAGAAAACCTCACCTATCACATGACAATCAAATATTAATTTTTTTCTCTTTTTTGTGACATTTAGTTACATTTTACGATTATTATCATTAAAATCGACCCAAATATCTATTACCGACTTATTATATCCATGTGTTCACGCCCATGTTACATGCAGTTTAGTCTGTTAAAAGTGCATGTGACTAAATGTATAATACTGCCCTACTCATCGTAACTAACTAACAGACATTTTTAGCGAAATTTTTAGTGTCATTAACATATCTACAACATCATTACAAAAATGGAATTGCATTAGTTATGACGAGGACGGCAGAATATACCTTCAATATATTTGTATACTTAAAGTACACCCTGTGCTTTCACATATGAATTACGAATTATAAAATTTTTATAATTCTTGACGGAAACCATAAAAAACATAAACATAACTTTAAAACATAATAGAAATAAACAATAAACGTTGTTGATAATTATTTGCTTGTAATTCCTATACGCATAAATATACGACGTGACTTTAGTTTATTTCACTAGTTATTTCTAAGGCTGCTAACAGATTGACTCATGTTTGCAGTTAATGCGTAAAATCATAATCAACTTCATCCGAGACCTCGACTGCACGAAGTTGATAACGAATTCACTCATTAACTTCATGAAAATGAAACCGACTTCAAGCAGCCAAGATCAACTGCATACAAATAATTCCTTGCGTAAAGTTGTTATCAACTCTAGCAGTCCGCAGTCCATTTGTTTAGGTCTAAATGTAAACAATGTTGATACACCTTTTTATCGAAACATATACTTTACAAATCAATAGGTATAAAAATAGGCATGCAATTTCATATGAAGGCAAATATTTGTATTTTGTATTTGAAGGTCAGTACAAATCAGTTTATAAATGTCTATTTAATTTAGTTAAGTAGATAAACAAATGGACTATAACGAATCTTCATTTATACGCGAGTTGTCTCAAAAAGGTTTTACTGCTAACTCACGTAGACGACCTGCGTGGTCGACTGGCTTGCACATCGATTTTCATGGTGTCTCCATCTCACGTTCGATTCCCGGCCGGGACAGTGGTACCGTCGTTATTTTCGATTTCCATAACACAAGTGCTTTAGCTACTTTGAGATCAGAGCAACGTATGCGTACGTACAGTATTTCACGAGTAGTCTTAAGAAGTAATTTGTGACGTCCTAATTCACGAGAGAAATAAATGTAGGGCATACAAATAATTATCCCGCTCCGTTAATGGAACCTGGGACCTGTGCGTGGCAGTCCAGCACGATAACTTGTCTTCCACGGAGACAGGTTAAATGTTCTGACTAGCATTGCAGCAGTTATGAATAGCCGTGTTCGTCCCGTCACTTTATAATCACAAATAAAAATTACGATATTTCTTTATACCTTTCACTTGATGTTTCACAGAGATTTTGTTTCACAAGTCATGGGTAACCTAGTTTTAAAAATGTATTATTTTTATTGGAAATAAAACTATTATTACGAAATCTTAAATGTGTATATTTAATATTTAAACAAACCCACATTTCGGGATAATGCTGGGATTCTAATTTTTCTTAAGTTTAAGAGACTGGTATTCATGACTATGGCATCACAGTACATTTACTCAAATATTTTGTATGCCCGTAAAAATATACGTAATTTAATATACATAACTTCATTAAGAAAGAAGATATCCATAATATTAACCTTAGTTCTAAGGTCCGGAGCACATATTTTTCCGTTTCCTAAGTTTAAAACTTACATTAAAAGTATTTTAATTCAAAAGTCATATTACAAAATAGAAGACTACATGTTAGATAAAGATGTGCGTAAAGACGACACGGTTCTAGATAACACACAAATATGATTTAAAGCGTAGTTAAATTAAAGCGTAGTGAACGAGCAGTAGCTTAAAAAATGAGGATTTCAAGTGTAATTTTACATATGGAATAAATGATTATTGACTTTGATTCTTAAACCACTGGTCATTGTAATTGTATTGAAACTCCACTGACATTATATTACCATAATGATAATATTTGTTATTAGTTCTGCTAATATCTAGTTTCAGTGGCAGTTGAGTCTCAGTCGAGTGTCAGTGGAACGTCACTGATGGCATTCATTCAATCGCTAATGATCGATGTTGCCATACTAAACATATCTTATTTTTTATATCGTTTAATCAGCAATTTAGTCTTCAAGTTACTTGTATATAATATTAGTAGATTATCGACGTGCCTTCGACTCGCCATTGAAGAGCAGAACACCAAAAAATTGCAGTGGCAGTTGTTGCGAACGCAACAGAATTTTTGTAATAAAATTTAATATAACTTTCAAAACAGTAACTAAATGCTCGTCAAGGGCACATTACGTAGGCCGGGGGTTCTATTTTGAACCAATCAACTAACACCACATGTATGTTATTTCATCCCTTCCACAATTTAACGCACTTTGTGTACAAACTAACGAAGGTCAAAAAGGACGTTCACTTTTGAATTGTACTTCCATAAGAAACCACCACTGTTTAGCGATTAATGCCACTACTCCTGTAAACCAGCAACCTATTGCCAATATATTACTCCATCATCATCTTATTTAAGAGCCAGACTGTTGTCGGTGTAACCTTCTCCACTCCTCACGGTTCATAGCTGGCTATGAACTTCTTCTTTGACCTCTTTATAGCTGTTCTCTTCGATCTTTTTTATTTGTTCACTATATGTCACTCTTGGTCTTCCTCTTTTTCTTTTCCCTTTTATCCTCCCCTCAATTATCACTCTCGCAAATTCGTCATTACGCAACAAATGTTCAAAGATGTTCCCCCTTCTCCTCTCCATTGCATTCAAGACTTCTCTTTTTCCAAAATTTCCTCATTTGATGTATTTTCAATCCATTTTATTTTTTCCCTCCGCCTCCTGCACCACATTTCAAATGACTCCTCTCTCTTTGCTTGTTATTTTCCATGTCTCGCATCCATACAGTGCGGTACTCCAGACATAGGTTTTGATGAATCCTTTTTTCAATTGTATAGGTGTTTTAGAGGTGAAAATATGTTTTTTGTTATGGAAAGCCTGTTTTGCTATTGCGATTGTAGTCTTTGTCTTTATATTACATACAACTTAAATCGTCTTTTAACTTTACGAGCTCGTCGAGATCCTCTGCATCTTCTACTTGGGTCTGGCGGCTACAGCAGTTGAATAGTAGCCCGATAGCTAGCCTCTGATAAGCACCTACTCTTAGCTTTTAATAGCAAACGTACAAAATCCTGTCATTGACAATCGCCACACAACTGAAATAATTTAAAATTAACAGACTTGACACGGCTGGAAATTTTTATTGTAGTATTTAACCAATATTCCAAACGTTAAAATCGACAACACGAGAAAACAAATGATGATAAAAATTACCGTTTGATTCTCATGAAAAGTCTTTTGGCTGCAATTGAATTATCTGATCATTACCTCAACTTCCACAACCGAAAATAAAAATGAAAATTGTATTAATTTTAACATTATTTGTTGCAGAATCGACACACCCGGTGTAATCACTCGCGTGTCAAATCTTTTCAAAGGCCACCCTGAACTTATAGTTGGCTTCAATACCTTTTTGCCTCCGGGGTATAAGATTGAAGTTCAAAGCAACGGACAGGTAAGACCGTGTTTTATATCGTACACCGACTTCAACGCTGGGGTCCTCCTCTCGAAGCACGGAATCTGTAGTTACAGCCGTTTTCCCTCTATGGATGACCTACGGGGTTACTCGAAGTCCGTCAACGAAAACACTGCCAAATCGCGTTGTCATACATTCACAGATTACCTTAATAATTATCAGATACATCACTCTCATACAAAATCGAAAATACCTACTAAATCTGAGTAATGTCACCAGGCTCTCTCTACGACGAAAAAGGAGCCTAAACTCGCGCTCAGAGAGGTGAAAATAATGTGTGCAGTCGTGCGGAACCGAATGCTGGGTAATGTGGGGAATGTGTGCTGGGTCGGCGATACACTCAGCGGTAGGCACTAATCGCGTAACCTGGAGCGAGTGACTGAGCCCTGCCTTAAGTCTGCAGATCATCCACAATGGGAAAACGGACGTCGTGCTTCTAGAGCACAGTAGAGTTAAGTTTTGAAATAAACATCTTGCCCATCCGCTAAATTTAGACAGATTATAATGATGTCGAATTTTTTAATCCATTGAAAAAAAAAATGGTATTTTTTGTGTGTAAAAAAATGGGATTTTTTTTTGTTGGTAAGGGGGTACCTCAATATTGGTCCCATTTAAATTTGAAGAAAACATTCCACCGTTCCACCATTTGTATTCTTTCCGAATCCGAGGCTATACAGATCTAGAATACTCGTACCCACTTCGGATGTCGCTTGTGCACTAAGCCCTATTCGAAACCGAAAAAATACGAATATCCCTTTCGTGTGCAACCAAGGGATAAACTGATCCCTCTGACATTTAGGACCGTCATTTCTCGGATTCAGAACTGATATGAATCGGACGGAGTGCGCAAACGCTCCAAGGACGGCAAACTAGGGAATGAATCCGGTTTCGTTCACTTTCCGGTTTTAATAAAACTTTTTTTTTTTTATAACGCACACACTCAACTTAGCCCCGCACTAGGGAAATCCTGTGTCGCGAGTGCTATGGACACACACATAGACAACCACAAATTACACCCAAACTCACGGGAGAAATAAATGTAGGCCATATAGATATTCCTCCAGGCCCGGGAATCGAACCTAGGACCTCTGCGTGGCAGTCCAGCATGGTAACCGTTCGGCCATGGAGGCAGTCAAATATGTGTAAAGTAATGTAAAGGCAAATATATGTAATTCCACGAACTTTTGAAATCGGTTTTTTAAAATGAAAATGTTATTAAAAATTGTGTCTTACATGGTTTATACATTTATGCACTTTCTACTTATGACAACGTTCTTGTTAAAAAATAAATTTTGTTTATTTTTTGGCATTATATTTTATATCTGATTAAGAAAGAGGTACTTTGTGTGATGCTAGTAGAATTACAAATACCTAGTCATTTTTGAGAGGTGGGTTTTGTTAGGCATCAGTGTCCTACAAAATTATGTTTACTATAACGTCACGTATAAGAAAGGAGAAAAATGTAGTAATGTGGTTTTTGTACAGGTGTCGGTATCGATGCCGTCCCCCACGGGACTGGGCGGCGTCGGCGTTGGCGTCGGTGTAGGCGTGGGCAGCAGCGTGCTGCTGGGCGTGCACCACGTGCCGCCGCAGCCGCAGCTCGTGCACCTGCTGCCCAACGTCGCACCGTGAGTATAACTTCCTATAGCGATATCTCCACTTCGTCTTCAACCCTTAACACTTAACTTAGTGGGAACTAAAGAGCGAACTTTAGATTGTACCCTCACCTATAGCGAGAGTTATTGCTTCAAAACATTCAACAAATGTTACGAAACGTAGAAAAACTATACCAATACATTAAACTAGTATTATATAGGATTATTTGTAAAATACAACATCCCAAGCTACATTATATTACTAACATAATAAACAACAAATTTTAAGTTTTTGTTGTACTTTCTAACAAAAATATACATATTGATTTCATTTCATATTAACCTTAGAACTAAATTCAAACTCATGGTAGCACGATTTTGTTTAACTAATGTAAACAATTCTTGTATGGGGAACTACCTACATACGTTTTTACCATAAGATTCCGAAAGCATAATATTAAAATTATCATTCCCTAAGTTTAAAACTTACATTAAAAGTATTTTAATTGAAAAATTGTATTATGAAATTAAAGACTACATGTTAGATAAAGTAGTATGGAAAGACGACATGAGTCTACATACCATACAAATATGATTCAAAGTGTTATTCCATAGCATTTCAGTTTATTTCAAAAAAGATAATCCTTAGTAATATTCGTTCTTCTCAGAGTCGACATAATGTTTTATTCGGCAATTGTTTTATTTTATTTTAATAAATTATTTTTTGACTTTGACACTTTAAATCTATATTTAGTTGTAAGGTTACGTGCAAACGTCCTTCACGACGACCCCCAATCGTTTTGCATCTCACTGGTATTCTATTCTTACTGCACAGAGTTATTGCCGTTTGATCTATATAAATAATTTTATTTTTGAACGAAAGTAAAATATGATAAATTATTGAAAGTCAAACGTTGTTCTTTATGATGTTAGTAATACAGTCCTAGGAAGTTTTTTTTATGACATCAATCGACGGGACGAATAAAACAGGGAGTAAGGAACAGACAGGCCTATCCATGACAGTTGCAGTGACACTCAAAGCTTTAAACGAAAAATTTTGAGGGGCACTGCCACTGCATCCGTCACCCTGAGACATAATGTCACAAGTCCCATATAAATTCTCCAGCACCTTAGGGCGCGTTCCCATTACCTCATAACGCTTTATTTATCGTTGAACGACTGTCGTGTAGCTGTTCAGCAGCCGCCGTGTCGTTTTCTCGACAGAGTCGTTTAATGCTACGATTAGACGACTGTCGTTCTAGCTCTTCCCATTGTCACGACTCGTCGTAACGTCAAAAAAGTGTTGTGCTATATGTGAACAGCTTCATTTGAATATACAAGTCACGACACTTAAACTGCACGAAAATCTGTCGTCACGACATAGTAGGAACGCGCCCTTCCCTGTCAAAACTGGAACGCAGTAACGCTATTGTTAGTAGTTTACAAATAAGCCTATAGAAACCAGTTGAACATTACGGCCTTGTACAAATTTGTAAACATCAAACTTGAAAGTACAAAACTAAGTTGAGCACTTCCAATTGAAAGTCGACTAAATAAACATAACCAGCTGAGAGGGTCAATGCCCTCGTGTTTATTTTAACTGATAATGTAAGTATATGAGCAATTACTGCAACTAGACGGATTGTGAACCAGTTACTCGTGTTTGTATATTGTTACGCTGCTCGTATTTGTAGTTGTTTTTAGACTGCATTTGACTAGCAGTCCCGGGTACTAGGTTTTTTTTATTTGTGTCTTTTGTGTTATTGAATATTGTACATTTTTTTTAAGAGTCTATACATCCTGAAATGGCTTTAGTTGATTCGCATTACAGTGAAAGTGTTGAATAAATCACATTGGAGAAAATGTATAGTAAAATTCGGGATATACACTGATTAGTATACGGTGTGAAAACACTGTTCCTAAAAATTGTCACGATAGAAAAAAAAAAATCGAAATTTTACATATACCGATTATTTTTTTATATCAACTGAACTAAATAGAACACGTATGGTACACGATATATCAGATGGCTTTAAATAGCCAGTGTCTCTGTCGTTCGATCCAAGCAAAATGAACCGTATTAGTACGGGAAAAAATTGAATTCGAGGTGAGGTAGTATAGACTATTCATTGCTATAAATAAGGTGGATACATTTTAGTGATAAAATTAAATTAGAGACCTTAACTCTATTTAGCCTTAAATAAATGCATGCAAATATATGGTATATTTATTAATACGAGGAATAAAAATAAACTAGCTGTTCTTGACAGTCATTTTCACGAAGTAGCAAATTCATTGAAGGGGTAATGTATACATACGCTTCTATAATAAGATTTCGAGAAGTTCCGAGAAGTTGAAAAATAGAGGGAGACAAAAACTTTATACTAAAGTTACACAGCTTCTGCGTACTTGGATAACAAAAATCCGTGATAGTGACCCGTTTAGCTCTAGCAGATAGTGTCGATCTAAGATGTTAATTTAAGCAATATTGTAATGATAAAGTTGATTTACAAAGAGCAACCCCCTAGAATTTCTTGCTCGTTCTTCTCAAGCGAATCTGCCGAAACGAATGAGCAGTAGAGTTTAATCAATATGACAATTTCAAGTGTAATTTGCTTACCCATGATATAATTAGTTGAGATTGTTATTAAATGTCGACTTGGTTTATCCTAAATTGTAGCTTTCGGTAACAAATAACACGGATAACCCAGCAATAGCTCTCGCTAATGGTAAAAGCAAATAATCGTCCCAGAATGGTTCATAAAACCGTGGAAAACGTGTGAAATGAAATAACATTGGGCCAGGGTGGCTGTGAACTCCTGATAGTGGGACATGTGGGATATTCCCTTCTACGAATCCCGGGATTTTCTGAATTGACGGTGTTTGAATATGCTTATTATTTATTGTATTTTGATCGGCGCGCCGTTCAGTTCGAGCAGACGCTCTGACACGCACGCTTTCTTATTGTGTATGGTAGTGGAAATGACGACGCCAGATATTGACATTTCTAAGATAAAATTTAGTGACTTTACATTGTAAGATGTTTTGTTTAAAACAATAATTTGTCAATTTCTGACGTCGCCATTTTCACTATGCGTACACAATACGAAAGCGAGCGCGTGCGTACGATCGGAGCGCCTGAAGAAACTGATAAAAATTTGATTAATAGAGAAAATGCTTTATTTTATTTTTTCCTTTGAAAAAGCATTTGTATAACGGCTTTTGTAAGAACAAACACCGTTACACAAGTTCGTTTCATGGTCCCTTTCACGCCGCCGCCGCCGATATTTTTTTGTCGGCGCGCCGCCGCCGATATTTTTTTGTCGGCGCGCCGCCGCCGGTTGGTCTAATATCGGCGCTCATATCTAATCGTTATACATAGGGAATGAAGCTAATTTTTCACTGACAGGGTCAGCCGTGACCACGGGACCTGTAAAGGGCCAGAAACATTTCTTTTTTTGAAAAAAGAAATGCACGCGATTCAGATTACATAATTTCATTTCCTATGTTAATGATATTGTTGGTTATACACAATTCACACGTGAAACCCAATGCTGTCGTAACTAAAAAAAAAACGATTTGTAAATTAAAAAATAAAGAGAATGGATCTTATTGCGAATAAAGGGATTATTTTTATTCGTGGTTCTACTTATAAACGAGAATATTGGTTCCATTCGGTAATTTTTTGAACTTACGTATCGTGTTTTTCAATTCCATCATTTTTGAGTTACGACAGCATTTGGTTTTTGTTTTTGTTTTGACAATTACATTTAGAGTTAAGTTAAATTATGTCTAAAATGATGATACTAATTACCGTTTGTTAGCCCAGTGATATAAACTAGCGGCTGCTCTATAAGAGTTCTGATTTATCCGATGTTACAAAAAGAGTGTACTATAGTAAAGTGTCAAAAGTTAAAGGTCATTGAACTTCAAAAATCAACAAGAATCTTCGATTTGCCGATTTGAAATTATAGTTCAAAATGTGCTGGTCAAAATTGATTTAAATCTCGATTCTTTTCGACATTTATCTACTTACAAAAATTAAATAGAAAACTTTATTTACATTTTTTTTAATAATATCAAGTGACGGGACGGACGAGTCGTGTGTCTGCTGGTAAGCTCTATCCATGACAGTTGGAGTGCCACTCAGAGCTTTAAATCGCGAAACCGCTATGACTGTCACCCTGAAACATAAGTAGACAAGTCCCATGTACCAGTAATTTCACCAGCACCCTTACCCTTCAAAACTGCAATTGTCTATCTGCAACGTAGGCTTCGTCAGATAAAAATCAACAATGCAATTCGCCACGGACCTGGTAATTTTTATTTAATTACAAGTATTAAAAAGGACATAGCGTTACTGCGCTGAATGGCCAACAAAATTTGTTTCACCAGGTAAGATCCAGAGCTTGCAGATTTTCTTGCTCGTTGTTCTCAAGGGAAGAGTAACAACTGTCTACGTAGGTTTAATAAATGATGAACCGAAACTCATTCAAGCTAGGGTAAAATGAATCCTTTAATCGTCGTAACTTGAACAGCATTTTAACGTTGAATTTGTAATGATGTTTCGAACCTCATTCTTTATATCTAAATCATGGATATCGATTAAGTGACGGGCTGAACAAGTCGTGCGCCTGATGGTAAGCTACACGCCTGTCTATAACAGTTGCAGTACCACTCGGAACTTTAAATCCCAAAGATCTGGCCACTGCGCCTGTCATCCTGAGACATAAGTTGACAAGTCCCATGTGCCCGTAATTTCACTAGCACCCTTACCCTTCGAATTCGGAAGGCAGTAATGCGAGCATTACTGCTTGGCGGGAGAAATAGGCGAGGTGGCAGTACGTCTCTGGACAAACACTTTCACAAGGAGCTCTACTGCTTCTTAAAATATCGATTTTTCGGAGAAGGGCGTAAAAGGAAACTTTATCAATAATTACTTATTTATATAGTTGGGTTAAATTTTCATGCTCTTTCTGTCAGTGTACTCAAAATTTAGTTAATCTCCAAAAGTTTATTTTACGTAAACACAGATATAAAAATAAAAAGGATATGAACAAAAACGTTTATAAATTGGTTGTTTATCACGCATCTTGTAAACTTTGTATTTAGGGCTTAAAGGTTTCCTCCCCGAAGTTTCGACATATTTTGGTATTTTTCTTCAAACAAGCTAACGTCTCCGGTTATTTGACGGGTGCAGTGACAATGCTCCTAAGATCTTTGCGATTTAATACTCTGAGTGACACTGCAACTGTTATGGGTAGGCGTGTCGCTTACCACCTGGCGCACGACTTGTTCGTCCCGTCACTTGCTGTTATAAAAAAAAATTAATGAAGGTATAGAACTAAAAAATATATAACGTAAAAATAAATGGCGGTAGATACAATATTCATCAGCAAATTTATACACGTCTATCTACTTTCAATTCAGTTGACAAGAACCAGAACGTGTGTAAAGAGTTTCGAAATATATATTGACATTAAAAAATACTAAAATAATTAAGAAATAATATAGAATTTACAAATTTATCGTGTAATTTTGACATTTTAACATTATAAACTAACAAATATTCAATTGTTTGATAGTTATCATAATTTGGAATTTATACAAGTTGAAATTTTCAAACAAGTGCAACAATTTTAATTATTAATAATATTTTATAATTAAATTTATTGACGTAAGTTTGACAAGTTCAAATTTGAAATAAGTGTTTGATTTTAATGACGGTAAAAAGTGCTTAAAGTGAAATGGATATGATACAAAATGGCAATGGCGTGCAAGAGAAACAAGGCGTTTGTACGACTGTGAGTTATTGAAATACTGTATCAACCTAAATACGTTCCACGCACGGGCACCGTCTAAGAAGAACTTTAAGGTTTGCATTCCATTAACGCGACCAGACATGTATAGTTTTGAATAACGGCTTTTAAAACTCGTAATATTGTGATGAAAGTGTTTTTACCTCCCCGGAACGAAATGTAAGTAGCAGTAACCTTACCTATTTCTGCCGCCAAGCAGTAATATGAGCGTTACTGTGTTCCGGTTTTGAAGGGTGGTAAGGGTGTTGGTGAAATTACAGACACATAGGACTTGTCAACTTATGCCTCAGGGTGACCGGCGCAGTGGTAGTCCGCCTCAAAACCTTGTGACTCAAACCGCTGCAACTGTGGACAGGCGTGCCAGGTCCGAAATAATAGTTTCATACGAAATAAATTATTAATGAAGTTATAGTAAATGTGCTGGTGCGTGCAGATTGCAAAAAAGTTATTTTTAACCGACTTGAAAAAGGAGTGTGTTCTCTATTCGACTGTATTTTTTTGCATGTATGAGTATGTTATGCGATGACTCCGGCACATTTGTGAACCAATTCTTTTTTTGTTGGAAAGAGGGTACCTCATTAATCCCAGTTAAATTTGAAGAAAATGTTCCACCTCTAAGGGTGACAAAGTAGGGCATGAAACCGGCTTCGCGCACTTTTCGTTAACCGTTTTCAATAAAACTTGGCAAATGGATGTAATTCCACAAACTTTTGAAGTTGGGATTTTTTTATAAAAAAGTTATAATTATTAAAATTCGTTGACACTCTTTTTGCGACTCCTTTGTTAACTTTATTAGGTGAATTTTTTTTTATTTACTTGGTAATGTAACGTTTTGAATTTGTCGTATACAGGTCTGTCAGTAGCGCCATTGTGCATAATCTGTCAGTGAGCGCTCCACCGGCTAACACCTTGCATCACATCTCGCAAGCTCATCAGCAAATTGAAGCCGCTGCCATCCACCATCAACAGCAGCCAGGTAAGCCTTTGCCGATTGAGGTTATATTTTTATTTATTGAGATTTTTGTGAAATTTTGTTATGATTATCAATAGAAAGATCGAACCAACCATTGACTTACAATTATATGGACGTCGGGTCCGCGCTAAAAAGTGTCCGAACTTATAGGGCGTTAAAATCGTATACAGAGCGTCATTCACGCTTTAGTCTTCGTTTGTTCGACTGACAGCGAAGCAAGCAAAATTAGACAGTACTGCGATGACATTACAATTTAAATTCAACGTTTTAGCTTTTTCATATTCCTTTACATGTCACTACGTTTAAATAGGATGACTTGGGACATTTTTTTCGTGGTTTTTGTATTAGACCCGTCGTCCATTTATTTGTAAGTCAATGGAACCAACAGAAAAATTTTCGTCGACCCGGTGGGACTTGTACCCACGTCCATGCTGCACCGTAGCATTGCTATTACCAACTGAGCTACGGGCCCAGTTAGCGAGCCTTCGAAATCCTCTTAAGTGATTTTGTCATAGACTTTGTAACTAGCTTTCGGCATCTAGTGAGTGGTTTTTAAACAACTTTCTCACCACAGTTATATTTTTATTTACAATTATCAAACTATTATGACACAACAGTTACGTAATTATATCTGTACATTATAAATGTTGATGGTAAAATTAGTTTGAAGAGTTAATCCTGTTAAGCCTTAAATAAGAGCAAGCATATATAGAATAGAAATTGATTTAACTAAAACAAGACATCATTATTTAAATATTAATATATGAATCCATTGCCTTTATATTTGAAAAAGATCGTCAATTGAATAGAATAACTGTTCTAGAAGCCTGTTCCGTGTACTGAATATACAACAGGCGGCCTTATAGCTAAGTAGCAATTGCAAAAAGAGGTATGCGTGTATGGTAATACCTATAAACGTACTCGCCAGATGCCGAAGGCACGTGCGATGAGAAAGCCCGGTTTAGATTTCCGGTAAAATCAAATGAGTAAACGAGTTATAATGGAGGTGATTGTGTGGCACATAATAAGGAAAGTCTCCTGTTGCGCAGGCGCAGCGCAGCCGTCGACGGGCAGCGGCGCGCACGGCCCGGCCGCGCCGCCCGGCCAGCCCGTGGAGTTCAACCACGCCATCGAATACGTCAACAAAATCAAGGTAAGTCCGCTTTGTTTTACACTCCCTTTCCAGGCGATAGACTTCCCTTTTTCTAGACTCCTTGGACCCTGCAAAACACAAATGTGCTAAATATAATTACATACTTCAGACCCAAGCATTTTATTTATTAATTTTAGCGCGCACACTCATAGCCACTAGGGAAACCCTGTGTCGCGGGTGCCATGGACACACACATAAACAGCCCAAATTACACCCAAATTCACGAGAGAAATTAATGTAGGCCATTCAAAAATACAGCCTGTATTCGTAAACCAGCCAGTTAGCCATGAATTTGCAATACGCAGAGATGGGCAGCGACTTGAAAACCCAATCAACCTGCCCGGGTAGCCGGGTTTTTACCATTTCTACCAAAAATAGTGGGCAGAAACTTCTATGTAAAAAATCTTTAAAAAGAGGCAATTCCACAGAATACCTACCTTGCAATCCTACGGATTCTCACGACTAAAGGCCCATTTAGAAGGAGAGAGTTTATCGCACACTTCGTGACGAAAAATCGTACGCGATTATCGTAAGCAATAATCGCCATAAGATTATCGTATCAAAATGTTTACATTGAGGCAAGAACTAAAATCTCGCCTACGATTATGTCATACGAGATTCGCAAGCAACTTAATCGCCTCCTCGACTGTTTACACGGAGAAATATGTAGTAAGGAGATTCTTGCTTACGAGTTTTCGACTTGTCTAAACACGATCTCGTATGACATTTTTTCAAGTTCATACGATTGTCGTACAAATCGCTTCGAACCGTTTTGAGTGCGAGAATTGCCATTCGAGTTCAGTGATTACTGCGCTATTGACTATGGACAAATCAACATGATGCAAAAATCATTGAAATTTGGAACTGCTGATAATATTAAGTTCATTGCACTGTATAGAAATATACATTTTTTTAATAACATTTTTTAACCCTTTTTTTCCCTTTTCGTTTTCTTAATTCTTGTCAAAGCAGTGATAATCAAAACACCCTCGCGCACTGCACGCATGGTAGAAACGGCTGCCACAAAAACTCGAAATACGATTTTTGCTTTCAAGTTCTGTTTACACGGAGACGTTCAACATGTAAAGGCGAGGCGATTATCCCTCACGTGGAAGGGCGATAATCGCGAATGTTTAGACGAGGAAAGTTTTTTATATTCTTTCGATAATCGTATCTTCGAGACGAGAAACTCTCTCCATCTAAATGGGCCTTAAGGGTGCACGTTACGATTCGACCTTTACTAAGATCGATTTAAGTGCATAAGATCTTAACGAATTTTTGTATCGATTTATGTCAATGTGATTTACGAGCGAACAAATGCAATAGAAAAAAGCTAAACGATTTTTTTTTAAATATTTAGTTAAAATAAAAACAAATATATTCAATTATTTTTTGTGAAATTACTCCACCAGTTTAAAATAATTGAATATCAATTCAATACAAGTTTAATTGCGGTTAATAGCGACATCTCTAGCCAGGCCTGGTAAGCTGTAAAGTTTAAAGTTACCTGGCTGGATGAGAAAATACTTACATAGATTTCTCATAGATGGCGCTACGGCTAAAAAGTCGTTGAATAATTAAATACAAAGATCCGACATCAAGCACGTAGAAAAATTCGTGAGGTCCGCTGACTCATTCCGTGGCTTCGTTGGTATAGCGTCTGGCGCAGTTTGCTAGAAGACGTCGGTTCAAGTCCCACCGGATCGAAATAATGTTTTCTAAGTGCTCGATCTTTGTATTAATAATTATAACAGATATTTAGTTGTAAATGGTTTTTGCCTTATAAGATTTAAACCTAAAGTTAAGAATGCCCATCTCCGGCTATACGGACTACATTATTATACTTATAATAATAGTTAATTCTTGTCCCAGTCTCGCTTTAGTCGTCAACCTGACAAGTACAAGCGCTTCCTGGAGATACTACACGCGTACCAGCGCGGCCATCGCGACGTCAAAGAGCCTCAGGCCAAGCAACAGACCGAGCAGGAAGTTTACTCACAGGTACGTCTTACTCAGAGGTCTACTATAAATTGTTCTGGTAGAGTTGCGTAATTCGTGATTACTGCCAACCTGTCATCGGTAACCTATCACAAACTCGAATTTATTTTGTCCGAAATTTTCATTACCCCGAAAACCGAATTATAACGAAACTGTTGTTCTTTCAGGATGTCTTGGATGTATATCGCAAAGACACGATTAGGTTAAGTTAGGTTTAAAAGAAAAAACATTTTCCTCACAATTACTTTAGAGGTTATGAAAATTCGAGCAAAAGTTATTTCTGGAAAATGTCATTTCGGACTTCTGATAGATAACCCTGTCATCACTTCGACGATCTTCATGAAAGAATCTGACTAAAAAAAACTTCTTATCGTATTTATGGCATATACTATTATGTGGTGAAAGGAATTTCCAATCGGCGGCGTTCTCTCCGATGTTGATGACGATGATAGGAATAGCCCATCTTGCGGGAGACTCCTTTCGTGCATGAAAAAACTACACTATCCATTATGTACAGGTGGCAAAACTGTTCGAGAATCAAGAGGATCTCCTGGCGGAGTTCGGGCAGTTTCTTCCGGACGCTAAAGCGGTAACCAAACCGGCGCACTATCCGCCGCACCCGAGGACGCCGCCTCTGTTGCCGCCGCCACAGGTGAGTCTTCGCCATTTCTACTTGTTTTTTTTTATGATTGGAATTAATATTAAGCTGTACCTACAAACATAAAACTATCTATACTTCGTTTCAATAAAAAAAAATTAAATAAAAAGTAAACACACAAGTCACTGACTAGACCGTAGACGGTTTAGTGACGGCCGATTGTAATGCAAACTAAAAATCGATTAATTAATTGAATGAATAGTTTTATTTAATTGAGTCATACTAGCAGTTTTCCTTACAAGAATAGTAAAAATACGTAACCTATAAAAGCATATATTTAAAATTTCCGGAATCTTAATTTTAAATCCTCCTTCAAATCTTTACACTACTATAGATAATCGTTCGTTTGCGATTGAAATTTTCGATTTACCAATCGTTTACGAAAACTTTAATTGAATCAACGGATTGTTTTTTTTTTTTCGTACAGCAATATGCAACTGTAGACAAGTCATAGAAGTATAAATGAAAAATAACCTCACTTTTGAACTGCCATTTTGCAAATACGATTTTACGATGCTACTCAAATTAATATAGTGATGAGATATCAAGTCGAAAACTTCGACATATACGTGAAAGTGTTACTTCTCGATTTGTTGAGTGCTTGCCTTAGAATTTTAGCCAAACAGGTTTGTTTACTTTTTGTTGAAAATGGATTGGAACAGACTATAGGCTTCCATGTAGCCATATTGATGATGCACTTTTCCGTGTGAGGTACAATAGTTATTTGTTATGCAAGACTGCAAAGATGTTTGACGCGATTTCTTGTATCGAAACCACAGCAAGCGAAGGAAGCTAAGGTAGATTCAAATGTAGAATCCTGAGCGTAGCAAGGGTTTCAAGGCACGAGACGCAATACAGCGTTGCTGCCGAGCGAAATACACAACTGTTCACCTCACTGTAGCGAGGAAAATGGTAGATGAAAGAAACGCGATTGCTTGTATTGAAACAGTTGAACTATAACAAATCAGTTTTTTTTAATCATAAGAAAAAGTTTATCTTCGGATGCGTTCTGAATTTGCACCTCATCAATTTTTATTCTTGCTTGTACTTATAATTTTGTGTGATTAAGTCATTATTGAATTTTTTTTAGTTCTTCAACGAATTAAAATAATTTAATATACGCAATTAGTTATCATTGTCAATGTAATGCCAACAATAATAAGAATAAAATATATCAACCAGTTTATATTGCATAAATAGTAATGTACGACAAATCGCGTAGTTGAACGTGTCGTTATATTTTTTTTTCATCGAAAGAAAAAGTTACGTGCACCTTAGTCCATCGTCAAGTTCGAATTTGAAAAACCTTTTCCACGCTAGCGTGCAAAAAACGCTTTTGCTCGCACATTACTAATGAGAAAGCCTTTCCGACCTAGTGAGGTGAAAAAGTCTTTGTTTTTTCATGTAAATAACAAATATTATAGAGATCGAACAAACACAAAGAAAAGTTTTCGATACGACAAAATTCGAATAAAAAGAAAGAAGGAAAAAGAAACATTTGTTTGATTATTCACAATCCTACAATAAAATTTCAAATTATTATTTTGTTTTACACGTCGAATAAAAAACAAAAGAATAAATCAAATAAAACTAAATATCCAACAATATCCAAAAATGCTAGGCAGCTCAGCTTTAGAATCAGTGTCTGTTGCCACACCGTGGCTACCACCTCTTACCAACTTTTACCTACTGCTATCAGAAAATCTTACGAATTTTCCATGTGATCTTTGTTTGTTATTAGGTTTAAGCAGCTTTTAGCTCTCAGCGCCACTTTTACAGCTATTGCAATATAGTAAAAACGTCATGAGATTCAATCAAATGTATAATATAGATAATTGTCTTTCGTCAAAATTGTGTAGTTTACGAGTCACATATCCCATGAGAATGGTAACGGCTTCGGTTTCTTTCATGCACCTACCCTGACACTCCGCCTTCTACGTCTTCTAATTCTATGTCTAATAGTCTATTTTGTCCCCTAACAGCGGTCAGAGGAGGCGGAGGCTGGGTCTCCCCCGCGTGCGCCGCTGCCGCACCACCCCTTACCAATGCATCATCCACACACTCAAGTAAGTACCTACGCAATCTCAAAGGACAGTTTTAAGTAAAGGATGATTTGTCATTTTAGCCGATACTTTCAAGATAGTAAGATCGTGATGAAGCCTTGCAGGCTTCATTCAGGCTTTATAATAGACGCTAACCTAAATGTAAGGGTACGTGGTACTTTATATATAACTACGATTAAGTTTGTTATATTGTAATAAAGCTATGGTTATCGAAGAGAAGAGTTTCCTATCACGGTGCTTAAAAGGAAACCCAAATTACTAGTATACGACCCCTCCTATGCAAAGCATCGTATGTCGAAATTGCCAAGTTTACAGGGGAACGTTTTAAAATTTTGAATTCACTGAAATGAGCAAAACACGTGACTTTAGCATTTCTCAGTTTTATTCGGCAAACCCCGTTACTCACACAGAGTATTATAAAATACTAGATATCGGTTAGATGAACAACCATAATTTACGAAACTAGCTCTTTTCAAATAAACTTAAATGCTATGAAACGCACTTTAAATCATAATTGTGTGGAATCTAGACTCGTGTTGTCTTTCCATACATCTTTGTCTAACACATACAGTTCAATTTTGTAATATGACTTGTCAATTTAACCTAGGAAATGATAATCATAATATGTGCTTCGGAATCTTATTGTAAAGCGTATACTGTACCCTATAAACGAATTGTTTACCTTAGTTAAACGAAATCGTGGTACCTTGAGTTTGGACTTTTAGATCTAAGGTTTTAATGAAATTATGTGTATTTTTACGGGCATACAAAATATTTGAGTAAATGTACTGTCCCTTAGAATGTCATTCATTGGTGCCATCACCCAACATTAAACATTTTATATTGAATCAATATAAACACTACGGCGAGGGCAGTACTTAACTGCCCGTGAATGGGATAACAGAATACTTTTCTACGCAGGCGCCGAAACACACGAGCGCGGTTTCAAGCGCCCCGCCGCAGCCGCAGCACCTTCACCTCAAGAGGTCGCCCAGCTTCTCCTCCGCGCCGCCCTTAAGTGAGTCTTCCTGTCCTCGTCATACACTTCTGCTAGAAGAGTTACTTCTGAACCCAAATCCGCTAATTTTAAACCATCTCGGTTGTGTGTCAATGGCAGGAATATGTTTGATATTCTGCTAAAAGTGAAGAGTACTGACCCTAGCCATGGAGCTACTATTCAACTGCCATTGCAATATTATTTGTATTCTTCTCTTCAATGGTGAGTCTATGGCGTAGTCTACTACTTAACTGAAAAATATACTCTTAATTTGAAAATTAAATTGCTAATTAAACGAGGTAAAAATAAAGAGGTAATATATGCATCGTAATTTCCATGGTAGATTTAGTAAGGCAACATCGGGCATTCCACTGCCACTGGAGTATCACAGAGAAAGTGCCATTGAATTGCATGATTTGATTCCGTCATCGGGGGACTAGACGTGACCTGGGGTTCCTATGTTGTGGATATTCCCAGGATTTGCATAAAGCGTTTCTCTTCCTCTTTAATATGGCAAGCGACTAGGGAGTGGAATCCCCTGCCTGCGAACGCTATAAATTGGACGTTTTCAAAGCGAGAGTGAATAGGCATTATTTAGGTGTGCATCGTCGACCTCATCGTCACTTTCCATCAGGTGAGACTGAGATCAAATGCGCACTTATTTTTGTATTAAAAATAAACTATTAGACTCAAGTGTCATTTTGCAACTAGATTTTAACAGAGTAACAAATATTATCATGATTGCATTATAGTCTCAGTGGAGTCTCATTGGAATTACAATCATTGGTTAGAAGAAAATTAGCAGACTTGAGTCTGAAGTCGTTGACTTAGGGTCGTATTCTAGAACTACTCAATGCTCAAGTCAGGTTTGCACTGGAAACATAAGCACTGGAAATACGACCCTAATGCCAAGGACTTGAGTATGATTTCGAGTGCTTTAAACCATACTCAAATCATGACTTGAGCATTGAGTAGAGTTCTAGAATACGACCCGAAAGTCTCCTAATTATTATTATTGTCATAAATATCATTACATGACGTGCTTCGATCAATTTATAGTGACTCAAGTAATTTTGATATAGAATTAAAATGTTTAATTTTTTTTATTTAATTTGTATAAGTACTTATCTTTCTTTAAATTCAATATTTCTTTATTTATTCAAGAAATCAACAGTATAAAACTATTATTGCATTAACGAAAATGTTATGCAAAGTAGACCTAGAGTTGCCTTTTTTATTTATAATGCAGTTGAAATCGTAAAGACTATCAATACTAACTACTACTACTTAATTTTAGTTTTAAATTTTGACAAAGAATTATGGAAAGTATCCGTGAACCTGCTGCTGTTGTATGTCTGACATGAGTGTAGTCAACAATTGACAGTATTATTAATATTATTACAGCCTTCATTTCAACTTCGATTATAAAGCGACTCAATTCAATGTCCAAATAAACTTTATATTTAACGTACAAACTACATACGAACCAAAAAGCGCATCTAATTTGCACGTTATGCAATTGACATAAAGTCTGATGATGATGAGCGTCGCGACGGAAGGTGCTGACGTGTGTGGCTTGCAGGCTCGGGCGCGCCGCCGGCGAAGAAGGCGCGCGCGGCGCTGGGCGCGGGCGCGGGCGGCGGGGGCGGCCTGAGCGGGCTGGGCCTGCGCGACGTGTCCTTCGCCGAGGCCGCCAAGCTGGCCACCGTGCAGGACTACAACTTCTTCGACCGCGCGCGCAAGGCGCTGCGCTCGCAGCACGTCTACGACAACTTCCTCAGGTGCCTCTCTTGCATACTCTACTAAAACCCGGCAAACTACAATGGGAAGGAATCCCAAGAACATCGAGTGTATAACCAGAAATTGAGACGAAATAAGGGCATCCATCCCTGGCAACTCATCAGACAAATGGGCCTTATATCACTCTTAAATATCAACTCTCGTTACAGCTCAAATCACAAATTAGAAAGCTGAAATAGTACAGCGCCAACAACTGACCTGTTTTTCGTATTTCGTATTTATCGTAATAAGGATAATATCTCTAACAATGGGGAGCTGTTCCATTCAGTGGTGTGGGAAAAACAGCAATACATCTAATTACAAAACAAACGGAATTACATTTCATCGGCAATTAAATGTGTAATTTTTCAATTGTCGTCCATTATAGCGAAGCTCAAGTTAAACTGGTCGCTATGAAGTGGAACAATTGACGACATCCGTCAATTGTTTCGAATTCGGGCTGGCCAATCGGAGGGCAGTTGTCACCGTAATGATATGTATTTTAGAATAGTTTTCAAAAAAGACATGTCTCTACTTCTGGTTATATACTTGATGCCCACGAATCACAACTCCAATCCTTTTCTAACTCCTCCGAGTGATCTCTATATTTTCCTTGTACGCTTCTTCTTCCAATTCGAGTATCTGGCTACTGAGGGCAGTAACGCCAAGACTACTTATAGATTAGACACCTGGTATATAGTTAGGAGCCGGCATTAGTAAGTGCTCGAGACTGTGATGATATACATGCGATGTGCCTAACAGATAATCTGTGGTGATATAACGCATGCTGCCTTCCTTCTGATGTCTCATTATGCAGCATATACAGAATACATTTATATGTGTAACTATAATATTAGGAGTATAATAAAGCTTTATACAGTGCGCCGGCGCGTTTCATATTGTAATTGATGTTTGTCTTCATGATAACAAATTTCAGCAAAAACAGTTTCAAATTCGTAGAAAAGATGTCGCGTTGTCAACCTCATTTCGAACCCTAAGTGTAATAAAGCCACATCTGCGGTTACCTATAACCAGTAGTCTGAAATGACACATTCCAGAAATAACGTTTGCACGAATTTTCATAACCTCGAAAGTAATTTTGAGAGAAAAATGTTTTTTCTTTCAAACCTAACTTAACCTAACCTAACCGAATCTAATAGTGTCTTTGCGATAAACATCCAACATATCCTGAAAGAGCAACTGTTCCATTATAATTCGGTTTTCGGTGTAATGAAAATTCGATCAAACGTTATTTCGGTTAGATTACCCACATCTGCAAAATATCAATTTTTCCGGAGAGGTTTAAAGGTTCTACGAATGAAATTTGCCGATATTTTTTTATACTTAAGTGGAGAATTATAAAATTTCACGTATACGTAATTTGTTTCATGTGATGTGTATTATTTTTATGACTTTCATATTATAAAAGCACTTTTGACGTATGATTATTAAGGGCGGTAAATAAGCAATTACGAACGAGACTCTATTACAAGCTGAGTCGAAGTTCGTAATTGTACCGCCCGTGAAACGTACAAAATTTTATATCACACTTGCACGTAAATAGTATGATTGCATGCATGCTAACTTGACTATAATGCCCCAAATAAAACCCTCGGGCCCTTTCTTTTTACAGACCATGGCTGTAATTATATAAAATTATTGTCAAGTTAGCTTGCATTTATGTGGCTTTAGTATACCAAGGTAAGATTTAATCAGTCAAATCATTGACTTACAAATAAATGGACGACGGGCTTAATACAAAAACCACGAAAAAAATGTCTCAAGTCAACCTATTTAAACGTAGTGACATGTAAAGGAATATGAAAAAGCTAAAACGTTGAATTTAAATTGTAGTGTCATCGCAGTACTGTCTAATTTTGCTTGCTTTCGCTGTCAGTCGAACAAACGAAGACTAAAGCGTGGATGACCCTCTGTATACGATATTAACGCCCTATAAGTTCGGACACTTTTTAACGCGGACCCGACGTCCATATAATTGTAAGTCAATGAGTCAAATGGTTCTTTTGCAAATTTTATATAACGTCGCCTTATTGTCTCAATCTCGTATGCAAATAATGGATTGTGTATATAAATTTTGCAGACTGATTTCACATCATATTTCCTTCATTTTCACACACTGGCTTTTACCCATTCTTAAAATAAATGCTTCCAAAATAACACCCTTATATAAAATAAATAATATATAATTTAAAATAAATATAAAAGTTTTGCCATCTCCTAAATTTGAAAAACATAATAAAAAAAGTAAAAGAATGGTATTATTTTATGTAATAATTCCAATATGTCTTCAGATGCTTGTTGCTGTTCACGAACGAGATAATATCATCATCTGAGCTGCTGCAAATGACAGCGCCGTTTCTGTGCCGGTCGCCGGAGTTGCAGAAGTGGCTCCACGACTTCCTTGGCCCTGTGTCTCCACCTCACACGCCCACCAACACGCATCAAGGTTTATTTCAAATTTATTTTTACCATACTGGGTCAAAAGTTGCGTGCGAGTTTTGTAAAGATTTCGAGTTCGTAGGTTTTCGCGATTGTTGCACATAGGAAATGAAACTATTTTTCCGGATTTAAATCGCGTATATTTTTGGTTGGTCGCGGTTGAGTCAACCGTGACCATGGGACCTATAAAGGGCCCGAAACGCCGGTGTGTTTGAAAAAACAAATATACGCGATTTAAATCCGGAAAAATAGTTTCATTTCCTATTTGTAAAGATTGTTGAATCAGAACCTGTACATTTAAGTTTTTATCTGTACGGCTATGCGATAATTTGTCTTTATTTTCTTATTTTAGGCCTTAGACAGTCCGATCTATATCTAAGTAGGTCATAGCACTATTTAAATGAGTGATTGCGCACTTAATTCGAATTCCGTTTTCTAGATCTGTACATATAAACTAAAACGTATTAATTAGTACTGCAGTCTTACGTCTGTTTGGGATTTTTCATTAGAGAAAGAAAGAAATCTTATTTTACTTTTAATGCCTTTATTTAGTAAATAAAAACACATTCTTAAAGTAAAATGTTTGCTTATTTGAGTTTGAGTAGTGTCATATTTGGTATTTTATATGGTTTTTAAATAGTGTAGTGCAAAAAAGTAGTTGAATGGTGTTAGTAGTGTACAAGGCAAGTCGCGTGAGTGACGATAGCGGCGATTGCGGTTGCAGGCTACACGAACTCGGGCTTCTGCGGGCTGGGCAGCCTGTCTGGTCTGTCGGGCCTGTCGGGGCTGTCGGGGCTGGCGCTGGAGCGGCGCGAGGAACGCGCGGTCGACAAGGTGCGCTACGAGCCCGTAGGCGCCTACGGCGCGCAGCTACGCCACGACCGTCCGCAGGGCGACGCCGCCATGGATGTCGGTGCGTATCTCTCCTTCTTTCCTTTCTCTCTCTCTCTCTCTCCTCTCTCTCCCCTCTTCCCCCTCTTCCCCCTCTCCTCTATATTAAAAAATATATATCTCTCCCCCTCTTCCCCCCTCCTCTCTCTCCACATTCTCTTCTCTCTCCCCCGCGACAGAACGATCTTTGGGGCAATGCCACTGCGCCCGCCACCCTGAGGCATAAGTTGACAAGTCCCATGTGCCTGTAATTTCATCAACACCCTTACCATTCGAAACCGGAACGCAGTAATGCTCACGTTACTGCTCGATGGCAGAAATAGATAAGTAGCAGTACTTCCCTGGACGAACTCTTTCACAAGGCAATTACTACTATACTAAGCAATTACACAACCGTCGGTTATTACAGATCTATCCACATGCAAGAGATTGGGCACGTCGTACTGTGCTCTACCTCGCGAGGCTGCCTTGAGAAAATGCTCTGGACGTACTGCACTTTGCAAGGAGGTAAGATTACTATAGTCTGTTTTTTTTTAAAAAGGAGTAAAATGACAGTTAATTGCGCAAAAGTGTTGCCCGCTTTCGAGCAGCTAGTGATTGCAGTCGATAAATATTCTAGACTATCGACTGAATATTAGTCACGTTTATGCAATGAATAGCCGAACTTTTTTAAAATGAAATTATGCTCGACCCTTTATTCACCTATATTATTGAGCACAAGTTCATTTGTATTGCCAATTTTTGTAAGATCATAAATACATACACTGTATTTAGAACTATGTTTATGAAAAATACGGCGAGGAGACGTTTAAAGTTTTTCATTTTAATTCAATACAGGTAAACAAACCCGGCTATTCTCGGTAAAATTCATATGCCCAAAAAAAAATCTTTTTTGTAATTAGTAAATAAATATGTTTCCTGTATTTGGTCAATAAAAAGATAATAAATTAACAAAAAATGCAATAACGCAATTACTAATCATTAGAAGACGGCGGTAACATTTTGTTATTCCAATTAATGATATAAATACCATGATAATCACTTGAAACCCTGATTTCATGCAATGCAATAAAAATAAACGAACTTCGAGGATTACGAATAGGTAGCCCTCGATGATGTCCTTTCTACCATAGCCAGTATTTATTAAGAACACTCCAAAACAATACTTTAAGGTCGCAAAGAAACTGTATATAATAATATAATAATAATAATAAATTTCTTTGCCATAATAATAATGCAACATGCATAGTGTACAGTAAGTAAGTATCAAAGAATCAGTAGATATGACCGCTGGTACTCAAAAAAGGAAAACCTGTGCTGTAAGTACCAGCAAACCTTCCAATGGCATAGTAAAATTTTTATAGTGAATTTTATTTCAATTATCCTACATTATGCAAAAATAATATTAAGAACAAATTTGTGGAGACAGCAAATGATTGAAATTAAATTAATCTATCTACTTTATATACTTGTTCGTAAGGCTGAAGAACCTAAATGGTAAAAATATTTCTAAATTATTTTATTTGTAAAACAGGTATTGAACGACACGTGGGTATCTTTCCCGACATGGAGCGAGGATTCCACGTTCGTTACGTGTCGGAAAACGCAGTACGAGGAATATATTTATCGTTGCGAAGACGAAAGATTTGAGGTAAGCTTGGTTCACGTAATTTTACTGGGCTCTAATTTTGCAAATTTTTTTGAAACCACTGGCATTGTAATTCCGTGTATTTATATGGACAACATACCACAAGCGGGCGCGGAACAGACGCACTTATAAGAGAAATGAGAGTGGAACAAATTCCTAGATTCATCTGTGGTATTACAGTTACATAATCCTTGTAATGACATGTTATAATAGTTTAAGCTTTGACAATTCCACTCCTCCTACGTATCGTTCTCGAATAAAACTGAGAAATGCTAAATTCACTTGTTATGCTCATTTTAGTGAATTCAGAGCTGTAAAACGTTCCCTTGTAAACTTGGCAATTTCGACATACGATACATTACATAGGAGGGGTCGAAATGTTACTTGAAATTGAATTACTATAAAATGGACAGCAAAAAAGTAGGGCGCCGCTAGACGAAAAACAGAGATGGCGTGAGTAACAGCGGCCTCGTGTTCGCAGCTGGACGTGGTGATCGAGACGAACGCGGCCACCATCCGCGTGCTGGAGGGCGTGCAGAAGAAGCTGTCCCGCATGAGCGCCGAGGAGGCGGCCAAGTACCGCCTGGACGAGTGCCTGGGCGGCCACTCGCCCACCATCCACCAGCGCGCGCTGCGCCGCATCTACGGAGAGAAGGTGGTACGGGCACCACGCTCTACGCATGCGCGCGATAGCCTCCCTGTGACCATTCGGCAAAAGATCACTTTCTGTCGTATGAGTACGGTCGCACGCGTTACAGTCTAGTCGTTCAAATACTGACACGAACCAGGGAACACTCTTATATTCAATTATTTCTCTTATCTATACGTACATATATTATGTATTTATTTCGCCGCATGCAAGTAGATGGTGGCTGCAATATTATTTGCGTAATTTTTTGTTAGTTTTAATTTATAAGGATTGATCCCCTTTGAATTGCACGTTACCAGGCTTATCTTTACTGCTTTCAATAGACAGCGGGTACACTATCGAATCAGAAATAGTGACGTTAAAAGATACTATACTACTACACTTGTAACTTGACGAGAAAATTCCAATATCTAATTTCAAGACAACACATGGGCGTTTAACACGGGACGCACAAGTCGTGTGCGTGGTTGTAAGCGACACGCCTGTTCATATTAGTTGCAGTGCCGCCCAGAGCTTTAAATCGCAAAGAACTGAGGGGCACTGCCACTGCGCCCATTGCCCTGAGACATAAGTTGACAAGTTCCATAATTTCACCAGCATCATTGCCCTTTATAACCGGAACGCAGTAATGCTCACATTTCTGCTTGGCGGCAGAAATGGGTAAGGTAACAGTACTTCCCTGGACGAACTTTTACACGAACTCTAGCGGTGAAAGAAAACGTGGTGAAACCAGATCCAATGCGATTCTAGTCTGGAAAACGTGTAGTTCTAAACCGCATTTATATTAGAATCTATAAAGTAGTTGATTTTTTAAGTTACTCGCTCTCTACTGAAGTAAAGTAGCCTTAATTGCTTGCATAATATTTTTAACTGTCATGTCTTGAATTAGAGAATACTACAAGGCCTTTTTGCTGTCAGACGTATTTAGCTCAGCATGCGTATCTTCTAAATTCGTTGTTTCAAAGTTTGAATTACGTTAATGCGCTTTGAATTTGACTATGTTCAGCAGTGGTCGTCTTTCGGCAGAAATGGTGATGATGACTTCGAGTTTATGACATTTCACACTGAAAGTTATCTGTGGTAGTGGCGAAATGTATATATTGTCTGTAATTGTACATAAGTATAATTGTCATGCGTGATTTTCCTTCACCGACTGTCTATAGCGGTTGAATATTACACCAACAAATATTTCTATCAATCCAGAATTTAAATTTTGCCTCTTTTTGTTTTGCCGGTGGAATAGCACCTTTATCGTCTTAATGGAGGTCTTCAGTTTTTGCCCAAAAAATGTACCGAGGTACAACTTATGTCAAAAAATGTCTAAAATTGTATAGGAAAGGATCCAATAATTGAAATCTTTTTAAGTTATGTCGGAATTACTAAAAATGTAATTTTACAATTTTTAAAATAAACGATATTACGTTCGACGAAACGTACATTGGTGTGATTTGGCAGCTGTCTACTGTCACTGAACGATGACAAATCATATTGTTTTGATGTTACATTCAAAATATTTTTTTATTGTATGTTCGAATTAACCGTAACATTTATCGACACTGATACTGGCCCAAGGCTAGTGGCCGTCATTACGGAAAAATAATAATAATAATATAGGTATTTAGACCATTTTGGAAGGAAAAGGAGGAAGAGGTCTGGCTAGATGCAAATATATGGACCAAATAAAAGAAAAGGCCAGTGTCGGGTCGTATAAGGAGGTCAAGGAGTTAGCTTACAGTAAAGATGTTCGGAAGTTGCTCCACCGACAAGAGTATTTATTATAACTCTTAAGTTTGATGATGATAGGTATTCAACAAAATAGACATTCTCTACTGGCACACAGTTCTTATCATACCAATGGCAAAGAACATCTATTGGCCCAGAAAGCAATGAAAAACATCAAGCTCAAGCAATCCTCGTAAGGATAACATAAGTGAAATCATAATTGGTAGTTTTGTTCTGAGTTAATTGTTATTGAATTTGTTTTCTGAGAACATGCATACAACAAACAGCAAAACTGAAAACTTGACAGACTATTTTTATTTATTTTAAATTGTTAGGGAAACTAACAGCTAGGTATACAAATACTTACAAAAATCAGTTCCATCCGTTCAATATCTTACTTGGTATTGATAGTTGTGCAAAATAAAACCCAAGACATTTTTTTAGTTGTTTTTATTATATTTCTTCATTTTCAATATCATCTCTAACTAAAATATGGTCTAGGAAGGAGGCAGGAGCTGTTATATGGTCTTCATATCGAGCC